GGAGCTGCCATCACCTTTCTATTGGATACAGATATCCTAGAAGACAGTGTGCCATATACTATGGACTCACAAATGTGAGCAAGGTTGATGCAAACTTCCAGGTGGTTCAAAATGCAATTCTGACCATGTGGAAAGGTCCAGAAGCTGTAGGAAGAGGGCAGAAAGGTCACCTTGGCTCTCCTTAATTCGTTCTAAAGAACTGTCCGACGCCTATCTGTGGTCAGCAGCCTCTGTGAGACTACTGTGACTTACGGGTTAGTACACGCGATTCAAGAGGAATTCCAATGAACTGTCCTGACATTTCTAGGAAGATGGATTCTCCATGCACATACATCCCACTGTCACAAGATTTGTAGGAGAGCAGTTACCATGTGGCTCACTCTTCTATCCTCAGGCATGGGGAAAATTATGGCCCCATGTTGTGTGAATCAGGGGACAACTTCAGCCTTCTGGATTGACAGCTAAAACAGACATCGAGGGGTGAAGGAAAGAGAGATTATTCACTTTTAAAGTTTGCTTAGGATGTGTAAGTTTTAAAAGAAATGTATAGAGCCATTGGAAAAAGTACCATGAGCATCTGCTTTCATTCACTGAGCACTGATTTGCATCTTTGAACTCTGCCACATGCTTGGAAAATTTATTTCTTTTAATCTCAAAGTAGTCCTATCATTTTCATGTCATGGTTCCTGAAATTAAGGCTCAGAGAGATTAGGTAATCTGACCAATGTCTCACTTGTCTGTGCTAGAATGAGAAATTGAACATAATACAGCCTGGTCTGGAGGCAAATGCTCTCAACTGTTACATTTATGATTGCTCTTTTCACATCGTTCCCTTCTTCCCAAATGACAATAATCAAAGAACAACCACCATCACTACCACTACTGTGGTATCTATAACAGCAAGACTACCGATCCCAAACATTCCCTTGACAGCATTGCTCAACAGTTTGCTTGGATTCTCCTTTCCTCCTTTATACCTTGCAGTTCTCAAATTGGCTTTGAAATCAAAACACTTGGGAAAGAATCACCTTCTCCTTAGGATGGTTGCTGGAGCATACCCTTGCGTGCGTTCTGAGGACGTTTCCCTCTGCAGGGGAGATTATTGCCCACCCAGGAAAACTGACACCTCTAGTATAAATGAAGGAGTTTGATGAGGGGAGGTATGTTCACAACTAATTTCTTGCTAAATATTTACTTTTAAATTTCTAATTTTTCCTTTATTCAGATTGTGTCACTAACTAATTTTCTATTTGATAGAGTTTAGATATGTGAACTATTGGTCATAAAGATTAATAGTTCATTCATTCCTCTTCACATATTTCTGAAAATAGAACTTTTTAATGAAAGAATGATGGAGGAATATAAATACAATCAGGGTAGAGTTTACTGATTTAACCTTTGCTTTACAGTTATGTTCAACTGTGACAAATATAAATTGGAATTGCTGTTTATGGGATGAACATCCACCCAGTATCACTATTCAAAGCACATTTGAATTTAAAGCTCATTTGGTGTGGGGAAGACTAAAAAATTCCACAAACATTGTGCTGCATGAGCAAGGTCAAGTTGGTAGGGAGCACCCTCAACAGAGAGAAGGTCAGGTCCTTTCTCTGAGTTTCATCATGATCTCTATCTCTGTCAATCAATAGTCATGAGTGAGATGGCATGCCTTGACCACATGCATGTGAGTTCAATTAATTATGAAATTATAGGCAAATAACTTGAGAATTTTCACCAAAGAAGAAGGTGCCAGGGAAGAGTTTGACTTCTGATTGCTTGAAAATGCCGAGCTCTTTAGAAGCAAGGAGTTCAAGAGTGAAGTTTAGAAAATGTAGCAAATATAGACAGGTCTTACATACACATACTAATTTTGATGCAGAAAATAGAAATAAGCATATTCACATATCTCTATAAAATTGGAAATAATCTTTTCTAATAATCTATGTACTACGAAGCTTATAATATACAAATCTGTTGTGTGGCACTCTGTAGCCTTTACAAACAGCTATGGATTAATTTGGTATCGAGCCTAGGCTGCAATTTTAAATATTTACTGTGCTTGATTCTCATGAGAATGTAGAAGAGTGGGATGAAGCCTCACTTCCATCACACTTCTATTTTCATTATAATTCTAAGCTAATTTTGAATTGATTTAAATCTTATATGGAGGGTGTGGGGCTGTTCCATTGGTGTTTCTTCTAAGCCTGAGCCCACCCATGGACAGTACTGGTGGTGAAACCCTCCCTTCTTTTTGGGAGCTGCTCAGGGTGAAGAAGCTGTTTCAGCCTGGGCCATAAACTGGTGGGAGTAGGAAGTGAAGAGGGAATCCACATCCTTGACTAGTCAATGTGGAGGAACAGAAGCCCCTTGTTTCCTTTGTCCCAAGGGCCATCCCAGCTCCAGGCCTTCCTGTGGTGTTGCCAACAGTGCACTTTCTCACTGTGCCTGATCCAATTGACTCAGTCCTCCACCTAACATCTGTAATAACCTTTGTGTGTTGTTCCTAAGAGCAGTCATTAATAGCTATCCTTTAAGGGTGTCTCATATCACAGCTACTTAATGGGAAATCCACCCAGGACACGAACAAATCCCTATGTAGATTCAGAGAGGGACATTCATCTTCAGGGTTTTCATAAGGTCCACAAAGAATTCTTCATCAGGAGTTTCATTCAGACATATCTATTAAACATATTGTATATCCAAGGCATTGTTCTAAGCCCCGAAGACACAAGGATATGTAAAATAGAATTCTTCACTACAAAGATCCCACTGTTATGAAACACAGCACTACAGCAAGGGAAAACAAGCAAACAAAACCCGACAACAGAGCTGGAAATGGGGAGAGGGAAGGAATAAAAATCTGCCAAAGTTTCAGGTTTTCTGAACACATTTTTTTTTTTACCCTTCCTTCCACACTCACATCCCAACACTCAACAGAAGCCTTTTATTTCTAGGTTTGAATTTGTGTCGAATCCTGGTCTCAGCACCTTTGCTGCTCCCTTCTGTTTCTGCCCCACGCAGGCCCCAAGCAGAAGCCACCTAACTTTTATCTTTGTCCTTCAGCATTTCTTCTCACTAGTGTGCAGTCGTTGATTCTGTGACTAGAGGGGAGATGGGCTTCTGCTGAGATTCCAAATCATACTAAAATCCCAATGTCCAGCACCTGCCAGGTCCTAACTCTTCACCCTCGCATTTTTCCTGACTCCCAGCCTCCCCTTCCTCTTGTCAAACAGGAATCCCATGTGTTTGTACTTGTCTGCTGCAGTTCTCTATACATAACTCCTTCCCTCCTGGTCCCAGGGTGGGCAGGGAGTCAGAGCTTGGCTTCACAGCAGACCTGACCTTTTTCTCCCAAGCATAGCATCTCCCCTGGCCCTGCTTGGTTTATTTCACAGCACACATCATCTGCCCCTACCTAATCATTATTTATTTTATCTACAGTTTACTTTGTCTCACCAGGTCACTCCCAAAGTATAAAACTGTCCAAGGACAAGGAAAAAAAAAAAGTTGATCAGATGTTTGCTGAAGAAATTAGCCTTTGAAAATCATGAAGATAAATACAGGCTGAAACAAGCAGGCACGAATTACAGTTGAAGGGCAAGGAAACTGAAATAGTTCAAATCCAAATAACATTTAGCAATCCTTAGTGATCAGAGTTGGAGGTGTTGGAAATGGAGATAGAGCACAGCATGTGCTGGTTACACAGTAAGATGTGTCTCCCTCCCCAATTCATACGCTTAATCACAACTTCCAGTAGCTTGGAATGTGATGACATTTGGAAAATGAGGCCTTTAAAGAGGTGATTAACTTAAAACAAGGCTGGATGGATCATATTCCAACCCAACTTGTTTCTTATAAGAAAGAGAAATGTAGACTCACAAAGAGACACCAGGGAAGGATCCCATGAGTCATTTGAGGACTCAATAAGAAGGCAGCTGTCTGCAAGGTCCAGAGAGGCCTCAAGGAGAATTGAAGCCTGCCGACATCTCGATCTTGGACCTCTAGCTTTCAAAACTATAACAAAGAAAATTTCTGACTTTTAAGCCACCTAGTCTCTGTTGTTTTGATTTGGAATTTTGCATTTATCCGACAATTCTTTGCTATTGTGAAGTGGGGTGGAAGTGAGATGAGGCCTGTGTTTTAGGAAGCTTGGACTGATTGAATAGAAGACTGAGTGGGGACACGAGCTCACCAGGAAGTGTCATAGATCTAGATCAAGAGGAAAGGAAGCCAGAGATGCGTGTGTTGACATCAGTCAGTACTGAAGAGATGTTGTGACATATTAATGTGATATTGACATCTGCCACAAAATATGACTTAATAAAATGCAGTGGTATAAGTTCAGCAAATAAACCATGAATTTCAGTGGTCACAACATCTGTTAGAAAGACTGTCAACATGGCCTGTAACATAGGCTCTATCAGCCTTCACAAAGGGGCTCAGTGGAGGTAAGGGCTCATCCATCCAGATTAGCACATCAATAAATCAAAGAAGCTTTACAATGAAATCTCTGTAACTATGTAAAACAAAAATGTTCCTTTCATTTCATTGATTATCCTTGCTTGAGAGACACTTTTGCCCTCTTTCTGAACTGTAATGTTTTAGAAATGAACATTTTCGGAGTGTGTTCCAATGCACTAGCATAGCTTTAGTGTAAGCAAGGAACCTTGGCCTGGGGACCTCTAGTTCCCATAGAAACACTGTTTAACAACTAAAAACAAAACAAAACAAAATCCAGAACAAAAGACAACACATGGTTCTACTATGGTCTGACTGCCATTAGATCTAAAAACAAGTCAAAATCTAATGGGAGTTCCTCAGTACTTTGAAGAAAGAATTAAGGAGATTTCAGAGGAACTATGATTCAAATGCAGAACTCTGGGGGCAGTTTTGGAATGGGAACTCTGAATCGAGTTCTTTGGTGTAAGATCAACCTCTGCCTAAGCTTTCAAACCTCCCCATCTATTTGGACCCAAGAAAGTCCGAATTCACTAACTCACAGGCAATGCGCACATATGCCTTCCGACTCTTCGTGGTGCCTGCTGAACTCCAGGCCACACACTGGCACCAGTAATCTTCAGGCCCAAACAGTTCCTCCACTTGCTGGCGTGAAATCTCAATGCTCACTTCTCTCACAATGAGACCTGACAAGAGAAACAAAGGTTCAAGTCAAGAGAAGACCTGCACATAAAACATGAAGCAAGCCCCCCCCCCCCCTGGCCAGGGATCCCATTTGAAGTCATCAACCTCCATCCAGATATTGCCTCCCACCTATCATTTTCTGAAGACTCCAATTACTGCAGTCCATGTATTTATTCTTTTATTTGCTATTTCAAGACTTCAATACTCATCTGAAGATGAAAGTGGAGTAAATCTATAACCCCACAAAATCGCATTTCCTCCTATCTAATTCGATAATATTCATCTCCTACCAGGTTACATCCCTGTTACTAAAATGGTATCATCTTGGCTTTCAAGTTTCCTCAAGATTCTATGTTATTTATATAGGTTGTGGCTAAGATGCACAGGTATTGTAAACAGCTTTTTACAATGGAGTCTTCCTAGTACTTCAAGAAAAGAAAGAAAATAACCCAAATCTATAAAATCAGTGGTCATAATTTAAAAACCACTTTAACAGATTGGTTAGAAAATATAACAGCACATCATTTTTATTGTAATACATTATACCTTCAGTTATCTAGAGAACATATGACTTTTAAAAGGTTTTCCTGTACAATAGTTTGGAAGTTCACATGTTTACCAGTAATTGTAATGTATTTGAAATTCCAAAGAAGTGTCTTCAGCTACAGTGTTGAAATAATTCAAATTTCTGTTTCTTGTGTAACAAAAATTGAACCAAAGATTACCATTTCAATGGCATTTATTTGAGGTATTATGGTGAGTTCAGATATTCATGCTGCAGTGTGTCTCTTTGCAATGACCAGGAGAAATTAACTGAGTGATATATGTGGGCAACTGCCAGTTCACCAGGATTGAATGTACACATTTCCAGAATAAAGTGTTCATTGAGAGCAATAGCCGAACACCCATAGAGAGCAAGGGAATTTTCTCTGAGCCAAGTATGTACACAGTAAGAATGATAGAATGAATTGATTTTGTCTATTAACTTTATATCCATCAATCCATTCATTGTTCATTGATATTTACCAAGTATGCTAAGAATGATCACATAGGAGTTACTTTGTTTACATTATGTGGTAAGAGGTACTCAAAATATAGGAAGAAACAATAAAGAGAATTAAGAGATTAGAAATCAAAAAGACCACCAAACACTATCCAGAGAGAGCAGAGGTATGAAATAGAAGTAGAGACAAGAAAGGGTCCAGTTTGGACATTTGTATTCTAATAGTTCTCAAAGTGTGACTCCCAGAATGGCATTTTTGGCATCACTTGAGGGCCTGTGGGAAATGCAAATTCTGAGACCTTACTCCAGATTCATTCATTAGGAAACATTGGAGACAGGACCAGCCAGTCTGTGGGCTTTTAAGAAGCCTGCCAAGTAAGTAATGACATATGCTAATTTGGAGAATTCTTCTATACAATGCTTAAGACTTTGGATTTCTTTCTGAAAGCCATGTATATCATTGAGGTGTTTTAAAGTAGATGACTTGGGAAGAGAACTATTGAATACATTTGTGAGATAGACAATATCTATACATTTGTAGACATGTGTTTGGACTTTAATAAGCTACAAAGTATTATGATGCTTAAAAATGTTTTTATGATGGGTGACAGGAAATGGTATTGCTTCTGGAGACCTTGAAAGGGAGATATCTAAGATGTATTCAAACCATTTTAGAGAAATCAGAGAAATTCATAGGCACCCAACAGAGATAAGAACCAACTGGAATGAATGGCATTTTCTATCAAGAACTGATGGGGTTCGTGTCATAGGCCCTTAGATCTCCTGAAAACTGAATTTTATTGAAGCCTGGGAAAGCATGTATTACATATCCAGGGCAGGACAAGATCCTGAAGGAACAACTCTGTTGTCAAATTTATAATTTAATATTATTTTAAAGTTTGAACATTATTAATTCTTTTATATTTATTTAACAGACAGTTTAAAAGGCACTTTCTGGTAAATGGCATAGTCCAACCCTTAGTTCAGCTGTGAAAAGGACACAAAGAATTATACTTATCAACATCTAGCTAATACAACAAGCTTCATAGTAAGAATCCTAAGCAAAAACTTTTCTTTTTATTTCCTGGGTCTTCCTCAGGTCCCAGTTTTCTAACCTTGTTGCAGTTTTCCTCATTAATATCTCGAAATCACTCTGCTAAGTAAAGGAAGACAGCCTCCATTCTCAACCCCACCTCCTTTTTCTCCTTACTCTCCCCATTTAATGCTTTCGTCTGCCTTTCTTGCTAAAACATGCCGTCTTTATATGGAAGTCCAGTTACTGGAAACAAAGTTCTTCCTTCAAAGTTGTTGCAGGAAATTTACAGTCACCAAAGGGCTGATAAACCTGCAGTGTGTATTTACTTCTAGCTATAATGGCTCTTTCTAAAATGTAGAACAGCAACAAATGGGTTACGGATATTAAAACCACATACAAATATTTTTTGTCCTGAGATGATAACCTCAGGTTTCACTCCCCTCCCATTTACTTGAAGTAATTACTGGCAACCTAATTAAATGATGGTGGAACTTCACCAGGTCCACTATATCTGTGAGACTGAATAGGTTTGTGAATATTTCTGTTAACCACAAATCCAAAGCCTTTTAAGAAGCCACAGACCAACTCTTCTGCTACTGGAGCTATTCATACTATGAATGTTCTGAATTATGTGGCCCAGGCTCCCTGTGGGCACTAGAGTCCAGCACACATGGAGGGCTTTCTTCAGCTTTACAGACACCCCATTCAGGAGCACATGAACTAATTACAGTTGTGTACAGTTGCTTGGCCACATGGCCCACACCGTTTACATTCCCATATTGGGCCAATGGCCAAGTAAGAAAGGACTGCAGCATGAAGTATCTAAATATTTAGAGCTCAGGATTCCCTGGAATCCTTTGCATTATTCAGGCTCTCAGCTACACAGTTATGTACAGTTTTTTTTTCATTGCCGTAAGTAATTTCATTACCTATGACATCTTGCTCATCAAACAAGAGCCTAGCGATTTCAGTAAAAAGTAAGTAATATCATTTCTCTTTGAAAGAAGAATTTCACAGCTTCTTGAAGTCCCGAGATGCAAGAAACAAGCCTTCTCAAAATCTGAAAAACCATCAGCATTTCTTCCAAGGAAAACTGCTTTGAAGAGACTTGGGAACTTGAAATTGGTTTCAGGTTATTTAGGGGTTAGGGGAGTGCTACAGGATTTACACAAATACAAATGAGTGGTTTCCATCACATCTGATAACATCAAAGATTTCTCATCACTTTCTTTAATAGTGGCATCTCAAAGATGCAGGCTGTTTGAAGTTTGCAGTCATTTGTGTCTATAATAGATTTCATTGTTGTTTGGGAACCAGAGTGCAAGGAATTTATTAGCTTGTTATATCAAGAACTCTTACAATGAGTATGAATGTGCACGTGGTAAGAGGAAGGTTCAAATGGATATGAAAATCCAGATAGAAGTTCAACTCTCTGATTGCATCCTTGTGAGACTCTACATAAATAAAAAAAATGAGACTTATATATTACTATAATTTGATCACGAATACATGTGTAATTGATTTTTAAGCACCCATATCCCCATAGAAATATGATATTTAGTCCTGTCAAATGACTGTCTTAGAAGTTTACTAATGTCAGATATTTTGTTAAGTTGTATAATTGAAAAGACAGGCCAAACATCACTCAGCCTGAAGATGTTAATTTATTGCATGAAAGTTCTTCTTTATAAATTAATTCCTAAAAGCTATATACCAACCCACTACAATCATCCCAGAGATCTATGGATAGATCAACATACAACATAAATTAATAAGTGTAATCCAACACATAAATAGACTCAAGGGCAGAAACCATATGATCTCATTAAATACAGAAAAGATCTTTGAAAAAATTCAACATCCTTTCATGACAAAAATCATGGACAGTCTAGGGATACACGGGGACATATATCAACATAGTAAAGGTAATATACATAAAGTCCATAGCCAACATTATGCTAAATGGAGAAACACTCAAAGCATTTTCACTAAAATTAGGAAGTGTAGAAGGGCATCCACTCTCTCCACTAATATTCAACATAATCATTCAAGGTTTTGACTATAGCAATAAGATAAGAGAAGTAGATAAAGTGAATGCAAATAGAAAGGGAAGAAGTCAAAGTATCCTTACTTGCAGATGATCTATCTATATACATAAAATAACCTAAAGACTCTACCAGAAAACTACAAGTGACAAATACATTCAGCAAAGCAGTAGGATATAAAATTAACACACAAAAATCAGTATCCTTCCTGTATACCAACAGTAAACATACTGAGAAAGAAATCAGAGAAATAATACCATCCATGATAGCCTCCACAAAATTAAAATTTCTTGAAATATTTCTAATCAAGGAAGTGGAATACTTGTATAGTGAAAACTTTAAGACACCGAAAAAAGAAATTTGTGTGACTAACCAACCAATTTATGATTGGTTTTAAGGTCCACTGCATGAGATGGAACCCATCCCTGACACTGTTCCTGTGGCCAAAAACCTGGCAGTACATAGGTCAGGGGCCTTTGGGACTATTGTGCTAAAGAAGCATAGCAACAAAACGACTGTTAAGGACATTCTGCTATAATCATAGATCAGTGTCTTGCTCAGCCGTCATCAAAGAATCTTCCTCCTGCAGTAAATGGAAACAAATATAGAACCATAGTTGGACAATGCGCAGAGAGTGAGAGGCATTGGTGCACTAGGTCCTAAATAGGGTGTCTCCATCAATTCTCTCCTCTCACACCTAAGAAAATCCTGTGGAAGAGGAGACAAAAATATTGTAAGAGCCAGAGGGGATGAAGAACACCATGGAACACATATGAAGTCACAGAGACTGAGGGAGCCGCAAATGTTCCTAATGTTTATGGGTTGATAGAATTAATTTCATGAAAACATCTATCTTATCAAAAACAACCTACAGGTTCAATAGAGTCCCCATTAACATTCCAAGACAATTCTTCACCA